TCACTGTTTACTGTAGCTACTGTTAATAATTTTATATATATATATATATATATATATATATAAATATATATATATATATATAAATATATAATTATATTCTTAAGGTTAGGGTCTTTAATTCTACTGGATACTTGAATTTCCCTCGGGATAAAATCTCTCTATCTTTCTTTCTTTCATAATACCCCTGCAACTTACTGTATCACTCTGGTTGGGTAGGTTCACATTATTTTCTCCTCTTCAATCTAAAGTTGTTGCAGAGGCATTCAGTTGTCTTAGAAAACATTTGGTCCCTTTGGCTCAATATTTTATTAGCGCTTTTTCTACCAACTGTCTTCTTCTTCATTCTGAGACCAGAACACAACAAATGATGAATTTTTACTCCTGATATCTAAAGAGAGGAAAAAAATGTCTGATGTTCTTATTCTGAAGTCGCATATCATAGGTAGGGTTGGGATTTAAACAGACTTACTAATCTTGAAACCTATTTTTGTTCAATTATGTCGGAGTTCACAAAATGAATGTTTAGCTGACAAATCTGACATTTGAATCCATGCCATAATAGTGTCATAGGTACTGATATTTCCCAAGTAACAACTTTTTGCTTTGGTCCAGTCAGAGAGACGGATGGGAAATTACACAAAGTTATTTTAAAAGCCCAAAAGATTTGGGGCTTTTGAGAAACCATCTGGGGCTGGAGCCAAAGAAGCCCTTCCTCCCCTCAGCCCCTACCGCCATGCACTAAACTTTATTCTAATACTGTTTATTTTATTAAAATGTAAAATGTATTAACATGTATTAAAATTCATAGCTGTCGTGTCTGATTTTGTGTTGTTGAATATCTGAATCTTCAGTTTAAGACTTCAAAAGGAGGATGACAAATGTATTTTACCAGTCTCATACTCTGATGATCGTGTATTTCGGTTTCTATATTGCCAATCTTGCATAAAATCACATTGTCTGCTATTGATTTCAATAATCCTTACAGGAAGTTCAATATTAGGATTACAAATGTAGAGGCACTGCAACTTTTGTGTGATGAGAATGAGATGGTTTAGAGGATAAATCTGGGATTAAAAGAATCCATTTAACAGAAAATGTAATGATGCCAATTTTCCACAAGATGGAGCCGTTTATCAGAGCAATACTATATTGGAACTGTGTTCCAGTAACTGCGTAGTGCCAAGTTCCAGCCAATCTAGTGAGTTTTGTTATTTAAAGTTAGTACAATGTATTTCAGAAGAAATAGAAAATCAATTCTCCTAAGTGTGATTACATGACAGCCATCTGGTTACATGCTCTTAGACAGGTAAAGAAATGCTGGTGCAATGTATCGGTAGCTTTCATAATATGGGTCTGTATTTTGTAAGTGTAGAACTAACAAGCCGGTGAGAAATGAGGATTTCAGACTTGTCACATTACAATACCTTGTTCTTCAAACCTCTCTAACACCGATCCACCATAATTCAGCTTTGTGCAGCACACTCACCCTGCATGTCTGAGTCCAGACTGCCCTGGCTGGAGACCACGCTCTGGACTCGACTTGGCCTGAGTTTGCCACAGCCTAGGGAAAGACAATTTGACATTTTTGTCAGGAGGTCCAGTGTCAGCAGGATTACGGTCACAAATCAAAGCCTAAAACAGAGACAAGCTCTGCCGGTACACACACACCCTCAGAGCCTTTCTCCCCAGAAAACTACACATCAGTTTTGAAAGGCTGTGGATACAGCATTGTGTTTCCATGTTGGAAGGAGGAAACAACCTAGAGATTTACTACTCTGCTCTTAATAAACAGTCCCATATAAATGAATTAAGATTCTAGACAGTAAATAGACCACATCAGGACACATTTATAATCAGAATTGTTACCATACCCAAGCAATATTCTTTTGCTGTGTTTAAAGTATTTGTTCTTCTATCAGTAAATCAGTAAAAGTTTCTTTTATTATATTCACCTCTCCTTCCTGTCTTATGATGAGTTAAATACTGAACACCATCTATGAAGCCTTTCTTTCTTTGTAAGCAAACAGGTGTTTGTTTTTAATAAACCCACCTCTTTGCTTTCATCTCATAGTGAAAATAAAGTAAAGTAAAAGAAAAAAAAAATCATATGAGTTGTATACCTTAAAGTTCCATTCCTAAAACTGACAACTTACATCTTAATTGTAATTCTCTGCATTTGGGCATATTACATAATCACTTATGATGCAGCATAGATTCTTCTAAAGGTTTTACATTTAGGAGGACCTATTGTCAGATATGGGATATAATATTCATAGGTATGTTTTCATTATCATCATAGCATTATTTTATAATCACCTGAATATAAGAATTGTTGTGTTTTCATTACCTTACAATGAGCCATTTTTATCTACAGACGCTTGTACAGTAGCCCAGAACCGTCAAACCAAACATAACTCCTTTCCATCAACCCAGAGGTAGTGGTAGTTTGGGCCTGGTGCCCTTGCCGGTTTATGGTTGGTTCAGCTTGCAGACCTTCTAAGAACTGGTTGCTTTCCCAACTCGCTACATAGCAACCAGAGAGCCACATTACCAGTCACAGTACAACTTCAACGTTAGCTCTTGTTACCAAGGTTAAGCTAGCTGGCAAGCTTGCTGTTGGTCATTTAACATTACATGATAAAGCATAGCTACTAATTTCTCACATCAATGTTACAAACATTGAACGAACACTGATAAATTAGTGACGAGGCTTGCTTGGGTGATGTTAGCTCACCAACAGCTAGCTAGCCACATCGCTCAATTTTGCAGTCAAAACATCTAATTTACGCTCGTAACGTGTCAAATTAGTAGATACTTGTTTGGATGATGTTAGCTGACCAAACATTTAGCTGGATAGTCATCTAGCTCAATTTTACTGCCATAGCATCTATGTTACGTTCGTAACGTGACAAATTAGTAGCTATGCTTAAACAAACGTGTGATGTTAGCTAACCAAACCATCCTAATAGCTCAATTTTTATGTTATGTTATGACATTAATGTATAAAATTAATAGCTTGCTAAACAGCAAATAAATACATAGCTGACTGGCTACTAGGTGCCCCCAGCCCCTGGTGTAAGCGGTTCATGGTCCTAGACCATCAAAGTGTTGTGGAAACTGGAACCAGTTTTCCTGGCCAAGAACACAAAGAACTGGGTTGAGATTAGGTACCGGCTCAAAATGGCCCTCAAACTGCCTTGGTGGAAAAGGGGTAACACTGGCTCTTGATAGGGCCTTTCGTGCTTTCGAGGTTAGCGGCCACTGTACTCGCTAATGGAAGGGTGAGGTGAAGGTGTTGTAATCAGCAACTACACACTGAACCTTTAAAACACACTTGCTGTCATTAAGTCATTATGGCAAGACATAACCACACTGATACCTGACACTTGTAAAGTGTTACATTATTAGACAGACATCCAGTGGAGGGCATGTAATTAAATACTTCAATAATACGTTACAGATATGTACAGGAGTGCAGTGTGTCTGACTCACTGTGAGATGCTGACTGCAAGGACTCAGCCAGGCTGACACTGGACGGCGTCTTTGGGGGTGAGGCGGTCTCTGTGCCATGCTCGGTCTGGATCTGTGGGGTACCGGGCTGACCTCTGTCCCCCACCACCATGCCAACTGAGCTCTGAGAAACTGTGTCATGTGCGTCAGGCTTCAAGGCTCTGATTTGCTCACTGGTTTCTGCAGTCGTGTCACTGGGAGAGTCTGCAACAACGCTGATGGACTTCTTGTCTTCACCCTGCAGTTGGACAGAGTTCAAGTAAAAATGAGAGGAATACAAACGTGTTTCATCTACTGTGACTCAAACAGCAATGAAGAATTCAACAGGACCATGAAGAGAATGATTCTAAGGTACTTGAATAAATGTGTTTTGACAGAAAATCTGTGCTGTCATTCCTTTGGCAACAAAATAAAGGATTTACTCAATGCTTTTTCTCCATGCTGCCAGATACTGTCATTATGATTAGATACCACTGAATAAAAACTGCAAAAGCAACAAACTCGGTGTTCAAACTGCAGCTGCAAATGTCTCAATTCTGATGTTCTATATCTCATGAGATCTGTTGTTTTCTGGTCTGTAGTAAGAGAGTAGGAGAGGAATTGATCTCATATCCCCAAAATAAACTATCCCAAATATCTTAAAAACAAAACCTGGGGTTTCACCAAGGTAAACAGCTCAGTAAGTCTGAATCAGGTAGGCATGTGTGAGAAACCACCTTCACTAACCACTTTCCTAAAGCCATCCCTGGACTGATTTCAGCTTCATGCAGCTCCACTTTTATTGTTTATATGGTAACACATTGGATCCCAGGAACTGTTTGAGTATCCACTATAAAACTAAACACTAAGAATTATTCTAAATGACGTCTCTGACCTCGCTGTCTGCCTCTGTTGCCTGAGCCTCCGCTTCACTCTCTAGTACCGCATCCTCCACCTGAGCTCTGGCACTGCAGGGGTTGCTGTGTTGTGGGGGGTCCGCGGCGCTCTCAGACAGACTCTTGGCAGCATGGATCCTCTGAGGGTGCAGTCTGCTCAGAGACATGAAGAAGAAGCTGTCCTGTTCTCCATTCAACACATAGCCAGAGAAGGACATTCTGCGGAACTCCTGCGGGACAGACATTATTCCATCATGTATGCTGATTAAGTCCTACATCTTAGCTATGTAGCACTTAAACAGCCATATATGCTCTACTGCGGACAGTAGTGTTGTACCAAGGAAACAGAACTCACTCGTTAACCTAGTGTTCATTCCCGACTGTCCATTGCAAGAGGTTTGTTCCATTGGTCCATAATAATAAAGAAATTCTATATTTGTATTCAAATTTACACCAACAAATATGCAGGTTAGTTTTGTGGAATAACAACGGAGCATTATTGACCTTCTGAAATTAGTTTTTTTTTTTATTATTGACCATATGTCAACATTTCTTTTGCTGTTAAGACCAATAAGCCACCATGCAATGTTTTTAAAACAAATGACAAATCTTCTGCCTTTTTTATTTATTGCTGTACTAAAACCATGATCCCAAAACCCACTTGCACTGGAAAGCTTTTAATGTGAAAAATCAGTGCCGGAAGTAATAAGCTTAACATTGAGTGAAAAAACACAGCAAAGTAAAATCATTTGCGATTGAAAAGACACAGACACAGTCAGCCTATATCTCAGCATTTAATTCATTTCTGTGAAGAAAACTAAATGAAATAGTTACTTTTGAAGTTTAGATTCTTATTTAAGGTCTAAACTTTGAAGTCCTGAACACAAGCTGTATTCACAGAGCTGGATTAGTGAGTGAAACAGTATTTAAAGGTTGTGTCAGAGTGTGTGTGTGTGTGTGTGTGTGCCCGTGTGTGTGCCCTTGCCTCTTTGAATTTCTCCAGAGACTGCTCAGGCCCAAAGACAAACTGAAGCGGGACATCCTCGCAGTGACAGTGCGGTCGACCGCTGGAGCGCAGCACATGCTCAGCTACTTTCTGCAGCATGGCCGAGCTGATGACCCGAGAGTGACGCAGAGCAGAGACGATCTCATCCTCCAGCAGCCAGCGAATCTGGAACACACAGAGAAGGAAAGCTCACCGTTGTCGTGTGTGTACCACAGCAAACATTTGGACATCATAGTATTCAGTACAAGTCTAATATAAACATGTATAATATAAACAATGTGATGTGAGTGATTCAGCAAAATGTTTCCATCCACTGGGTCACTGAGGTCAGCAGTAGGTGGTTTTCAATTCTCTGGTTGCAGTAACAAGATGATAAAATTAAAAGAGCGCCAGTGGGAGCTCAAATGGTGAAAAACAATGGACAAACTTTAGTTTCATGTATTAATGTGAGGGAGGTACCATGAGATATGTGTTTTCGGGCCGTGTTTTTTTTATTTAAATTTTTAGCTTAATTCGATCCCTAGTGGGTCAGCAAGTGACCTCAAGCTGGGGTGCCTCCAAATTTCCCATTTGTTCTAAACCTCTTATCCTGTTCAAGGAATGTTAATGTCCATTTCCAAAGGCCACATACATCACTGAGTTTAATAAATACATTTGGGTAAAAGTATAAATTCAACATGATGTATTTTTTTTATATCTGGCTTTAGATATAATATGAATTTGGGTAAAGCTAATAGTAAGTGAAGATACTCTTTTGATAGCTCACACTTGAATGAGACTCACCTCGTCCATTGTAGCCAGAATTGCTAACTTGTGAGGAACTGGGAGTTTGGATAAGGGATCGCCAGATACCCTAATGGGAGACAATAGAGTCAATCAGAGAAAGCCCAGCTCTGTGTCTACATGTGTCTAACAAACTCACCCGTCAACTCCGGCTCCCCTCAGACTGTCCAACACTGCCATCAGCTCCTCATCAGAGCGGTAGGAGGAGGGCTGTCCTGGTGAACGATTCAGGGACACGCTACTCTCTGAGGTGTACCTGACCACAAAGAGAACCAAAGAGCCACACCAGGGTTTCATCATTCACATTCACACATTATCCTTAGGAGTGCACAGCCTAATGACCACTTCTGGTCCTGTTTTAGATATGACTATCTTTTATTCAGTATGGCATACATGTTTGTGTTGATACTACTTCTAGATGGTGCCAAGGTAAAATAAAATCGAATCCTACATCCTATACTGACTTCTATACTGGGTGGCTGTGGCTCAGAGGCAGAGCGAGTCGTCCTCTAATCGGAAGGTTGTTGGTTCGATCCCCAGCTCCTGCCGCCACATGTCGAAGTATCTTCATCCTTATCCAAAATACTGAACCCCAAATTGCTCCCAATGCCGTGCATCAGTGTGTGAATGTGTATGAATGAGTAAGTTTCTGTTCGATGGACTTTGCCATTGCTGGGTGAATGTGGCACGTAGTGTAAAAGCGCT